AATCACATGAAATGGAGACACTCAAGTAATGTACTAGTACCTCAAACATTATGCTTGTGGCATTTTTCTTCTTACTTGCTATTCACTACACAATTTATTTGAACTTATTTACATTAGTATGTTATTTAAAGTGTGTTGAAGCACATTTAATGTTATAATTGATGTTTTTCCTTTGATTATGTGTATGTGTTACCTGCATATGTATGGTAGGCTATATATATATATATATATATATATATATGTATGTATGTTTTATCACTCCCGGCTCCCTCGTCTTGAATTCAATGGGCTGATTGTCTGAAACAGACAAACTAGTTTATCCAGTCCACGTTCAGCATTTGCTACTTGCAGTGCCAAAGGGAGATGCTTTTTACAGACTCCAAAGCTATATTTTCTAGGAGCTGATATACTGTCCCTAACATCATTTATATAATAAAGTCTGAAAATTAAAAAAAAAAAGTGTCGACAGAAAATTTACTGAATCATTGATCATCCCTCTAACATTTAATAATAATGATGATTAAGATTTCACCGTCGTGATGGTTTGCAGAAACGTGATGAATTAGTGTGTTAGCAGAGGCTAAATGTACAGTAATTCTGGCATGCGTACCCAGTGCCGGACCACAATTAATTGCAGAGGAATATACACACTGCAGGGCGTCAGTTTGAGACAGTATAGCTGCAGCCATATAGAGTGGTGCAGGAATGAGTCCTAATACCTGAAAACGAGTTTTATCACTCCCGGCTCCCTCGTCTTGAATTCAGTGGGCTGATTGTCTGAAACAGACAAACTAGTATATCCAGTCCACATTCAGCATTTGCTACTTGCAGTGCCAAAGGGAGATGCTTTTTACAGACAGAGATAAGTTGTATTTTCTAGGAGCTGATATACTGTCCCTAACATCATTTATATAATAAAGTCTGAAATTGCAGAGGAATATACACACTGTGGGGCATTAGTTTGAGACAGTATAGCTGCAGCCATATAAAGTGGTGCAGGAATCAGTCCAAATACCTGAAAATGAGTTTTAGCACTCCCGGCTTGGCTTTCTGAATGGGTTTTTGTGTAGATGCCTGAAATAACGTCTGTAGTTAACACAAAATAAATAATATAGAGTAGTAAAGTAAACACCCCACTTGTGAATTTTGAAGCTTTTACGTGTATCTAACAAGTGGTTAAATAAGACAGAACTCCATCATGCCAAACATGGCTTTACAGCTGTGTTGTTGTGGTGACGTTAAGTCATTCAACCATAGCATAGTTCCTTTATAGCATATTAGCTTTTTGCCTCTGGCCACTACATTTACTCTTCAAAAATCACAAAAGTGGAGTTAATTTGTGAAGATTATCTTGCTGAGAAAAATTTGTAAGTATGATAAACTTGTCTTTGCCACAGAGCTTATTTTATGCAATTATCCAGAATTCAATGGGAAAAGTCCCATTGGCCTTTTGAGGAGGGAACCAGGGTGAAGCCAACCTCTGGGTCTGCCTACAAAAAAACATTCTGTGGGAAAGCCTGTACAACATGCCCTTAAGACAGGAGTATCAAACTCATTTTAGTTCAGGGGCCACTTTGATCTCAAGTGGACATGATCCCTAAAATCACTGCATTATAACCTATAAATATCAACCCCTTCAAATTTTTATTTCACTCTGAAAATGTTCATCCATTTACCTAACGAAGAAGAAAGAAAAAAATTGTGCAAATTCAACAGTATGTCTTAGATTTTTCATATTCAGTCAGTCTGCCAATTACTTTCATCACATGACTTTTTTCCATACTTTTCCACTTTTCCAGCTACTGAAGAAGCATGTTAAGTCATCCCCTGCCTTACAATCTGAAGTTTTGTCAGTGCCTCAGCAGCAGGGTTCCTATAATATTGTTTGAAGATATTAGTCTGATACAGATTCTTTTGTACTGAAGCTGCTGGTTGACAATATTTTGCACACTGTTCAATATCTTTAAATATGACCATAGAAAGCATTCAGTGTTATTCATGAGAGCTGTGTTCTGGTCAGAGTGGAAAAGCCTCTAAGGCAGTGTTTTACATGAAGTATCTGCTCACTGTTTAAAATGCTCCTGAAACCTCTCAGCCTTCACATGTGCATCAACATTAGGTGTGCAAAGTCATCTAGAGGGCCGGATTGGACCCTCTGGAGGGCTGGTTCTGGCCCCCAGGCCATATGTTTGATACCCCTGCACCCACCATAAGTACAAGACAAACCCGCCAATGCAACCACTTGGAACCAACGCTGCATTTGAGTAAATAAATGTGAGGCCAAACGCAGCAATAATGCACTTCATTCATTTACTTTATTCATTATACATGAAGACTTGATTCACATTATGAGTAGCAAGATGTACCAATTTCAAGTAGCTACCCTAACCTTAATGGCCTCTTTTTTTTAACACTTCATAGTTACCTAAAAGCTAACTCAGCATTTTCTACAAGTTTTTCACTTTAATTCCAAGAGGTGAAGGGGGCTGATCCTGGACTGACATAGGTCATGTAGCTGGTGGGTGGGTGACGTAGCTGCTCCAGACACAGCTATACCTACTCGATCAGTAGTACTGTTACTACAAGTAGTACTGTCCACTGTTACAAGGAAGGAAAACTTTATTGACACCCTGCTGTGACGATACAAAATAAAAGCTAATTTCCACAAGTGAGAGCACATCTTTCATATCTGCCAGCTTAGCGGTCAAGATGTTGCAAACTGACAGGTAATATAGTGGAGCGAGCAGCTGCAATTTCCATATGCAAAGACGTTAAAGGTTGTTTCTACATCCCTCTGGCTACTTGTAGAAGCAGATTTGAAGCTTGTGCATGCACGCCTAGTTCCATATGGTTGAGATTTATAAAACAGAATTAGGTTTAGGAACAGCGGCTCACGGAGAGCTGGAGTTCAAAGACCCTAACAAGGCAGTGCGCCTTACAGTAATTGTACTTTATTTTATGCTGTATGTATATTGTTAAATGTCTGCTCAACCACTTTATTTCTGTTTGCAAAAAATCATTTAGATTTCTGTATGAACTTAATGGAGACACCAATATAACTGTATTTATAAATGGGCATTTATAAGGTACACACTTATGGTATATCATATGGTAAATATAAGATTTTTTTAATGCTCATATTGTATGGAAATATAGTTAGAAAGGGTATATTATGAATCATTATCCACTAATAAAAAACAGTCTCACATTTCATGTTTATTTTTTACATAATGGTAAAGATTGTATTCTGGTGCATGCCAGTAGATATTGAGATATTTCACTTAATGTTGGCCTGTGCTACAGAGAAGTCATGGGATCAGTGACATCATGAGACTTTGTCCTCTGGGCACCATACCACGTTTCATGACAATCCATCCACTATTTGTTGTGACATCTCAGTCTGAACCAAAGTGGCAGACCCACACTGCTAGTGCTGCTAAAGAAGTAAAGGGATTTGTGTGTGGAGAACCAGACACCATTAGAAATTCAGTTTTGATGATAACATCACTTGCAGTAATTTGAACAATAGTAAAAAAAAAATAGCAGAACAACACAAGCATCTCTGATCTGTGTAATGCGAGTGAAAACAGATATTCGGGTAACTTTACAGAGTGTGGTTACAGATTGCAAAAAGAGTGTCCAAATGTATTAAAATATTTACATTATATGGTAAAGAGCACATGATGGGGTCACCACAGTGTGAATAATCATGTTTAATGGTTAAAAGGAATTTCCTGGGTGACTGGATATAGCTTTGTCATAATAGTAATATTCTTTGGCATTCTTTCATGTCAGAGACCCCTTTGTTTTCTTTGTTTTTAGTTTTTGATCCAGGACCTGAGGAAGTGGTCACAGTGCTACACTGAAGACTAACATGACGCTCGTAGCTTGTGCAAGACGGGAGTACAGCGCCATTTTCCTCTTTCTGGCAGTGGCTGTCGTAGTCTTTGTGCTACATAACATGGAGATCCTGCAGGTGAGAATTTGGTTTTGGTGGGATTGCTTGAAGGGTAGACCTTATTTGAAATGATTTATGTTAGTCATATTTAAGGATATGGTTTTAAATGTATGTTTCAATGTGGCCCAGCAACAGCAATGTTCTTCACTGCAAATACTTATCAGTGAAGTTTGTGAAAATGCTTAGAGTCCCTGATGTTTTGTACCTCTAGTGTGTTTCAATTCAATGTGTATGCATCAAAATTCAATGTTTCTTTCAGCCATAAAAAAAAATCCTCTATCGTCGTGTCACTCCCAACTCAAATACTGATGCTTGGTCAGTGACCTTTGGTGTCTGACACCGACACACTGACCCTTTAGCAGTGGTATGACACGCACTCAGCAGCCAGATTTTTTTAATGCTCCGAGTAACTGCGATAGTATAAAGAGCAAGAATGTCTGCATACAATAGGTGCTCTCGACTTTTATACCTGGGAGACTGCTCTTCTTACTCCCATGTGAAACCAAAAGTCCATTGAGTTATTTAAGAACGAATTGTGCTAGCAGTATAGCATACTACGCTAATGATATATGTCAATTGACATAACATTACGTTCATAAGAACCATACCCATTTTAAGCCAAACATTGGGTTTTTTTCTAAACCCAACGACAAGCTTTTGTTGCCTGAACCTAGCCACACTGCTTAAATCTAAGGAAGTCAACATAAAACAGAGGGTTTTTTTGTCGACGTTCTGAGTTTATTATAGTTATATTATGATAAATTTTAAAAAGACAATGCACGTAACCAGCTTAAATCAACAGGCTGTCCGTGAGTGTCCAAAACTGATGCCAGAGGGGTATGGAGTGTCATAGTTTGACGTGAAGGGCCGCCGACCAAACCTCAGTATTTCACGAGATGAGAGTAAGAATGTGTCAAATCATCAGACGTGAAACAAGCGANCACACACACACACACACACACACACACACACACACACACAGATGTGTTAATGGTTGAGAACATATAGGGTCTTCCTGACTGAATATCAGTGAAACTTCACTACCTGAAAGTCAAGCAAGGAGAACAAACCCCCCTGCAAACAGGCAAGATTTCATCACTGTGTTCTCTCCAGATTGATCTCTGATGAGGTAAGACACATAATATGCTTTCATAAAGTTTATTTAAAATTTTATTTCATCCTGAAAATTAGGCTAAATGTTGCCATTAACCACCATTCTAATAAAGCCTTGAGGTACGTGTATTTTACTTTTACTACTTCCATTTTATGCTACTTTGCACTCCTGCTCCACTACATTTCAGAGGGAAATATACTGATCTGTACTCCAGTACGTTTACTTGACAATAGTTAATCAATACTTTGGCAATTAAGATTAACAAGCAGTTAAAAAATATGATCAGTTTATAGAAAAGTATACGTTTAAAAGTACTGACGTAAAAATGTATTTCAAGTACCAAAAGTAAAGATACTCATTATGAATAGGCCTATTGGCCCATTTCAGAATGCTATCTAATATTATTGTATTATATTATTGCATACATATGACTTTAATGGCAACTACTTTAAATACTTTATCTGTAGTAATACATCATAATTTATTTGATGATTGATGTTTTTGTATTAATCTGAATCTGTACTGTCGAGTAAAGAAGTAGAGCATTTGCCTCTGAGATGTAGTGGAGCAGAAGTATAAAATCACATGAAATGGAGACACTCAAGTAATGTACTAGTACCTCAAACATTATGCTTGTGGCATTTTTCTTCTTACTTGCTATTCACTACACAATTTATTTGAACTTATTTACATTAGTATGTTATTTAAAGTGTGTTGAAGCACATTTAATGTTATAATTGATGTTTTTCCTTTGATTATGTGTATGTGTTACCTGCATATGTATGGTAGGCTATATATATATATATATATATATATATATGTATGTATGTTTTATCACTCCCGGCTCCCTCGTCTTGAATTCAATGGGCTGATTGTCTGAAACAGACAAACTAGTTTATCCAGTCCACGTTCAGCATTTGCTACTTGCAGTGCCAAAGGGAGATGCTTTTTACAGACTCCAAAGCTATATTTTCTAGGAGCTGATATACTGTCCCTAACATCATTTATATAATAAAGTCTGAAAATTAAAAAAAAAAAGTGTCGACAGAAAATTTACTGAATCATTGATCATCCCTCTAACATTTAATAATAATGATGATTAAGATTTCACCGTCGTGATGGTTTGCAGAAACGTGATGAATTAGTGTGTTAGCAGAGGCTAAATGTACAGTAATTCTGGCATGCGTACCCAGTGCCGGACCACAATTAATTGCAGAGGAATATACACACTGCAGGGCGTCAGTTTGAGACAGTATAGCTGCAGCCATATAGAGTGGTGCAGGAATGAGTCCTAATACCTGAAAACGAGTTTTATCACTCCCGGCTCCCTCGTCTTGAATTCAGTGGGCTGATTGTCTGAAACAGACAAACTAGTATATCCAGTCCACATTCAGCATTTGCTACTTGCAGTGCCAAAGGGAGATGCTTTTTACAGACAGAGATAAGTTGTATTTTCTAGGAGCTGATATACTGTCCCTAACATCATTTATATAATAAAGTCTGAAATTGCAGAGGAATATACACACTGTGGGGCATTAGTTTGAGACAGTATAGCTGCAGCCATATAAAGTGGTGCAGGAATCAGTCCAAATACCTGAAAATGAGTTTTAGCACTCCCGGCTTGGCTTTCTGAATGGGTTTTTGTGTAGATGCCTGAAATAACGTCTGTAGTTAACACAAAATAAATAATATAGAGTAGTAAAGTAAACACCCCACTTGTGAATTTTGAAGCTTTTACGTGTATCTAACAAGTGGTTAAATAAGACAGAACTCCATCATGCCAAACATGGCTTTACAGCTGTGTTGTTGTGGTGACGTTAAGTCATTCAACCATAGCATAGTTCCTTTATAGCATATTAGCTTTTTGCCTCTGGCCACTACATTTACTCTTCAAAAATCACAAAAGTGGAGTTAATTTGTGAAGATTATCTTGCTGAGAAAAATTTGTAAGTATGATAAACTTGTCTTTGCCACAGAGCTTATTTTATGCAATTATCCAGAATTCAATGGGAAAAGTCCCATTGGCCTTTTGAGGAGGGAACCAGGGTGAAGCCAACCTCTGGGTCTGCCTACAAAAAAACATTCTGTGGGAAAGCCTGTACAACATGCCCTTAAGACAGGAGTATCAAACTCATTTTAGTTCAGGGGCCACTTTGATCTCAAGTGGACATGATCCCTAAAATCACTGCATTATAACCTATAAATATCAACCCCTTCAAATTTTTATTTCACTCTGAAAATGTTCATCCATTTACCTAACGAAGAAGAAAGAAAAAAATTGTGCAAATTCAACAGTATGTCTTAGATTTTTCATATTCAGTCAGTCTGCCAATTACTTTCATCACATGACTTTTTTCCATACTTTTCCACTTTTCCAGCTACTGAAGAAGCATGTTAAGTCATCCCCTGCCTTACAATCTGAAGTTTTGTCAGTGCCTCAGCAGCAGGGTTCCTATAATATTGTTTGAAGATATTAGTCTGATACAGATTCTTTTGTACTGAAGCTGCTGGTTGACAATATTTTGCACACTGTTCAATATCTTTAAATATGACCATAGAAAGCATTCAGTGTTATTCATGAGAGCTGTGTTCTGGTCAGAGTGGAAAAGCCTCTAAGGCAGTGTTTTACATGAAGTATCTGCTCACTGTTTAAAATGCTCCTGAAACCTCTCAGCCTTCACATGTGCATCAACATTAGGTGTGCAAAGTCATCTAGAGGGCCGGATTGGACCCTCTGGAGGGCTGGTTCTGGCCCCCAGGCCATATGTTTGATACCCCTGCACCCACCATAAGTACAAGACAAACCCGCCAATGCAACCACTTGGAACCAACGCTGCATTTGAGTAAATAAATGTGAGGCCAAACGCAGCAATAATGCACTTCATTCATTTACTTTATTCATTATACATGAAGACTTGATTCACATTATGAGTAGCAAGATGTACCAATTTCAAGTAGCTACCCTAACCTTAATGGCCTCTTTTTTTTAACACTTCATAGTTACCTAAAAGCTAACTCAGCATTTTCTACAAGTTTTTCACTTTAATTCCAAGAGGTGAAGGGGGCTGATCCTGGACTGACATAGGTCATGTAGCTGGTGGGTGGGTGACGTAGCTGCTCCAGACACAGCTATACCTACTCGATCAGTAGTACTGTTACTACAAGTAGTACTGTCCACTGTTACAAGGAAGGAAAACTTTATTGACACCCTGCTGTGACGATACAAAATAAAAGCTAATTTCCACAAGTGAGAGCACATCTTTCATATCTGCCAGCTTAGCGGTCAAGATGTTGCAAACTGACAGGTAATATAGTGGAGCGAGCAGCTGCAATTTCCATATGCAAAGACGTTAAAGGTTGTTTCTACATCCCTCTGGCTACTTGTAGAAGCAGATTTGAAGCTTGTGCATGCACGCCTAGTTCCATATGGTTGAGATTTATAAAACAGAATTAGGTTTAGGAACAGCGGCTCACGGAGAGCTGGAGTTCAAAGACCCTAACAAGGCAGTGCGCCTTACAGTAATTGTACTTTATTTTATGCTGTATGTATATTGTTAAATGTCTGCTCAACCACTTTATTTCTGTTTGCAAAAAATCATTTAGATTTCTGTATGAACTTAATGGAGACACCAATATAACTGTATTTATAAATGGGCATTTATAAGGTACACACTTATGGTATATCATATGGTAAATATAAGATTTTTTTAATGCTCATATTGTATGGAAATATAGTTAGAAAGGGTATATTATGAATCATTATCCACTAATAAAAAACAGTCTCACATTTCATGTTTATTTTTTACATAATGGTAAAGATTGTATTCTGGTGCATGCCAGTAGATATTGAGATATTTCACTTAATGTTGGCCTGTGCTACAGAGAAGTCATGGGATCAGTGACATCATGAGACTTTGTCCTCTGGGCACCATACCACGTTTCATGACAATCCATCCACTATTTGTTGTGACATCTCAGTCTGAACCAAAGTGGCAGACCCACACTGCTAGTGCTGCTAAAGAAGTAAAGGGATTTGTGTGTGGAGAACCAGACACCATTAGAAATTCAGTTTTGATGATAACATCACTTGCAGTAATTTGAACAATAGTAAAAAAAAAATAGCAGAACAACACAAGCATCTCTGATCTGTGTAATGCGAGTGAAAACAGATATTCGGGTAACTTTACAGAGTGTGGTTACAGATTGCAAAAAGAGTGTCCAAATGTATTAAAATATTTACATTATATGGTAAAGAGCACATGATGGGGTCACCACAGTGTGAATAATCATGTTTAATGGTTAAAAGGAATTTCCTGGGTGACTGGATATAGCTTTGTCATAATAGTAATATTCTTTGGCATTCTTTCATGTCAGAGACCCCTTTGTTTTCTTTGTTTTTAGTTTTTGATCCAGGACCTGAGGAAGTGGTCACAGTGCTACACTGAAGACTAACATGACGCTCGTAGCTTGTGCAAGACGGGAGTACAGCGCCATTTTCCTCTTTCTGGCAGTGGCTGTCGTAGTCTTTGTGCTACATAACATGGAGATCCTGCAGGTGAGAATTTGGTTTTGGTGGGATTGCTTGAAGGGTAGACCTTATTTGAAATGATTTATGTTAGTCATATTTAAGGATATGGTTTTAAATGTATGTTTCAATGTGGCCCAGCAACAGCAATGTTCTTCACTGCAAATACTTATCAGTGAAGTTTGTGAAAATGCTTAGAGTCCCTGATGTTTTGTACCTCTAGTGTGTTTCAATTCAATGTGTATGCATCAAAATTCAATGTTTCTTTCAGCCATAAAAAAAAATCCTCTATCGTCGTGTCACTCCCAACTCAAATACTGATGCTTGGTCAGTGACCTTTGGTGTCTGACACCGACACACTGACCCTTTAGCAGTGGTATGACACGCACTCAGCAGCCAGATTTTTTTAATGCTCCGAGTAACTGCGATAGTATAAAGAGCAAGAATGTCTGCATACAATAGGTGCTCTCGACTTTTATACCTGGGAGACTGCTCTTCTTACTCCCATGTGAAACCAAAAGTCCATTGAGTTATTTAAGAACGAATTGTGCTAGCAGTATAGCATACTACGCTAATGATATATGTCAATTGACATAACATTACGTTCATAAGAACCATACCCATTTTAAGCCAAACATTGGGTTTTTTTCTAAACCCAACGACAAGCTTTTGTTGCCTGAACCTAGCCACACTGCTTAAATCTAAGGAAGTCAACATAAAACAGAGGGTTTTTTTGTCGACGTTCTGAGTTTATTATAGTTATATTATGATAAATTTTAAAAAGACAATGCACGTAACCAGCTTAAATCAACAGGCTGTCCGTGAGTGTCCAAAACTGATGCCAGAGGGGTATGGAGTGTCATAGTTTGACGTGAAGGGCCGCCGACCAAACCTCAGTATTTCACGAGATGAGAGTAAGAATGTGTCAAATCATCAGACGTGAAACAAGCGAACATGAGCTATCCTAAAGCATGAATTTTAGTCCAAACAAGACCTGGTAATGCACACCAAAAAATCTTTGAATTTGAATTTAATATTAAAGGGTAACTTCTATTTTTTCAACCTGGACCCTATTCTCCCATGTTTTTGTGTCTAAGTGACACTGTCAGTGATACTGTATATCAGCATGAGCCACTATCGCCCCAGCTCAGCACCAACACCACCCTGGGCAGTGTGATTCTTTTTCTTTTTCTAAAGGGACTTTTTAACTTTTGACTGTTTTAATCAAAGTTCCACAGTAATAATTTACTGTGTTGAGTGCAGCCGTTCACTGCATGGATACAATTGCCATTATGAAATTAAAAACACATTAAAGCTAAGGTGGAGGACAACTACAGAGAGATATATACGTAAGGCTATCATGCTACAATTATGGTTAAATACAAGATAAGTTGACTGGTTAGCTTACTATGATTTTTATGGTGTTTATGACAGTGCACCTGCGCAAGCTTGGAGGATGACGTATGACTTGCAGATTCTGCTATAGTCATACGCCATCTTCCTTTTTCAGCAACAACCCTCTTTTTTTTCTTCTTTTTTTTTAACTTTGAGCATAAAAATAAGTAATTTGTCAAAAAAATGGTGAACAGTGTTGTTAATCAACATTGTCAGGACATGACTCAGAAAAATATGAAATATAAAAATGTCAAAATACACTGGAGGAGTCTTTAAATTATTTCACTTTAGCTAAGTTAAAACACATACTTTACTAGCTAATTGTTACCTTGAACAGTTGTGGCTCACTAGATGGCTTCATGCTAGTAATAGACCCACTCTCCCTAATTTGTAATCACTATTTATTTGCACATATTTTTTAGTCAATATCACTGTGATATAAAGAGGGACAACAAGGCAGCTTTCAGGGATTATGACAGGGAGCAAGCAGCAACACCACTGACAGTCAAGGGGCTTCGCAGACACAGGCGAGGAGAAATATTAAGTGGCTGAAGAAAAGCTGAGTGACCTGTAAATTAATTCCCACAGCTATATCAGAATTACTGTTTTTAAGTTCTACTCTAAATCTAAAATTTCTTTGCACACATATATATTTATATATATTTCTTAATCTGTATTATTGCAATAGAAAGAGGCACAAGGCAGCTCTGAGGGATCACAACAGGGAGCAGGCAGCAACACTACTGACAGTCAAGAGGCTTCACAGGTGAGGAGAGATATTGATTGGCAAAAGAAATATTTATAGGATAAGAATGACTTTGAAATTAATTTCCACAGCTATATCAAAACTGCTCTTTTAATTACCTCTTTATATTTAAAATTTCTTTGCACATATTTTTTCTTTTTACTCTGTGTTACTGCAATAGAAACAGGGACAAGCTGATTTTCAGGCATCACAACAGGGAGCAGGCAGCAGCAGCACTGACAACCATGAGGCTTCACAGGTGGGGAGAGGTATTAGAATAGAGTAGAAGTATTTGGTTTGGTTCCTTAGCTGCTAAGTAGAAGCATGAATGAATGAGAGAGAATATTTCAATAAATCGTTAAAAAAAATAGTCTTCCTCCTGACAATCTGTCGCCCTCACTTCTATAAAGATGGCCATGCCCCTGCCCCCATTCACTGTTTAAGAATGTTAACCGTTAAACAGGAAGTAAGCAGGGGCTGCAGCACTCCTGCTCAATACTGTACAAATTCCAAAACTGTTTGTCTGCAGTAATTACTTAGGCTCAAAAACACTGGAAAACAGGTTGCAAAAAATACTCGAGTTACCATTTTATGTTCTTGCCTTGTGCATTTTCTCTGTGGGTCAATGTCAATGTCAAATGGGACAGACAGAAATTCCTGCATCAGACACATTAACTGTTCTTATCAACTCCCCAAAATCATTTTGTGCTTTGGGATAGGAAAAAAATTCTTCCTTTTTGGATCTTTTGGTTTATTTAGTTATTTATGGAGCTACATTAGGGTCAAATGTTTTGTACTTGAAAAAATAAAATTTGAAACTGAAAATTCATGTGTTGATCTTGAATTTTGAAAAATACAACAATGTATTCAAAATAAAAATAAGTATATGAAACCTTTTTTTAGGTTAAATATAATTTTGATTCACTTTGGTAATTCTTTTGAATTAATAATTTATTCTCACTTTTCACTTCCATATATATTTTAACATTTTAGGTCTTATTTTTTTCAGTTGCATGTTTTATCTTTTCAGATTCAGATCTTATTTTTTACAGTTTCAAATCTTATTTTTTCACTTTCAAATCTTTTTTTCACTTTCAGATCTTTTTTGTTATGATTTCCCAAAACTTAACATTTCTCACCTGTGTGCTGGATGTATGGGCTCCAGCAAATTGACCCGACCGACCGGACACCATCATCGCAAGCGAAGTGGACTCTACGATGCATTCACAGTGCTATGTGGAAATCGGACATATCAGCACCTAAAATGTGGCTGTTGAACTGCAAATTCTGGCATAATTTATGGCTTTTATACCGCAATTGGTGCTCAGTACTGTCTAAAACAGATTTCTAAATGGAAGTTTGTCACTGGCATCAATTTTTACACTGCCAATCACATGAATATGGTGTATATAAGTGTTGAGTCAGAATTTTTTTAGTTCCTACGTTCCCTGAAGGCACTGTCACTCATGATTCCACACCCCTCTCAGTTGATGCCACGCCCCCCACGCCACATCAGGGTCAAAAGTCTGAAACTCAAAAAACAGATTTGAAACTGAAAAAAAAGATCTGAAAGTAAAAAAAAAAGATTTGAAAGTGAAAAAATAAGATTTGAAACTGTAAAAAATAAGATCTGAATCTGAAAAGATAAAACATGCAACTGAAAAAAATAAGTTAAATGTTAAAATATATATGGAAGTGAAAAGTGAAAATAAATTGTTCATTCAAAAGAATTACCAAAGTGAATCAAAATTATATTTAACCTGAAAAAAACATTTCATACACTTATTTTTATTTTGAATACATTGTTGAATTTTTCAAAATTGACGATCAACACATGAATTTTCAGTTTCAAATTTTATTTTTTCAAGTACAAAACATTTGACCCCAGTGTAGCTCCAATAGTTATTTTGCTTTCAGTGCATTTGTATGATGCATCTTTGTCACAATGTTTCTCTTGACCCTCTGCCAGTTTCAGAATAAAGCGAACTCCACCATCATCTACCCGAGTGTTCCCACTGCTCCGGACATTAATCACGGCCTCTGCAAATTCCAGCCACTGCCTCCTGAGGATGCTCAGGAGGAACGCCACCTAATAGACTTAATTGCTTGGCCTGAAACTCCACTTTTGCCAAATCCTTTTCGCTTGGAGGAGACCAGTGATCCAGCTCACAGCACCTTCACCATTCTCCCAAGAAGGGGAGGAGGACAGTGGCGTGTAGGGGATCAGCTGGAGGTCATGATCAAAATTTCTGACTTCAAGGGCCGCCCAAAAAAGTCCGGTGGGGACTTCTTACTCGCCCGCCTGAACAACCCGAATCTTGCTGCAGGTGTGGCTGGGCAAGTCGTGGATCACCTCAATGGCAGCTATTCTGCTGTGTTGTCTTTACTCTGGGAAGGAAGAGCACAGGTTGAGGTAATGCTAAAAACTGTCATGATACATGTGATTACTGTAGGTGTTTTTTATGTACCTTCTAGCTGATTGTTCACTAAGCCCCACCCCTAGTCACTGTTGCTATGCCTGTTGCTTTCACTTCTTGCACAGCATACATGCAATAGTGAGTGCTGTAGGGATGACGTTTTTCTGTAGGCTAACAGAGACATTAACATCGCCCTGGTTCCCTCTACAAAAAGCCAATGGGATTTTTCCATTGGATTTTGGATTTTTGTTTAAAAAAGCACTGTGGCAAACAAAAGTTCATGATACTTACACATTTGTTCAGCAAGATAATCTCCACAAATGATCACCATTTTATGATTTTTGAAGCATAAGTGCAATGCCAGAAATAAAAAGCTAATGCTCGATAAATGAACTACACCAGCGTGTTGCACAGTTGCACCACTACTACGACAAGGATGTAAAGATGTTTTTGGTGTGATGAAACTCTGTGGTTTCATTTAACAACTTGTTAGCAACTATTTTTTTTTAGGACCCGAAAAGTAAAAGCTTCAAGATCCATGAGTGGGGTATTTCCTGATGTATTTTGTGACGTAGAACAAAACGTGAAAATCTCTTGTGTTCACCACAAAACTCATTTCAGGCATCACACCAAAACTGGAGGTTATGAATATAACCAATGTTCCCTGAGGGAGGGAAACGAGGTACAACACATTAGTATGGGGATTGCTTTCTCGTGAGACCAACCTGAAGAAACTTTTTCTACACACCTCTCAGGGGAAGCCCCGCCTTCCCTTGGGGCTATAAAATCCCCTCCACAGTCTCATCTCCTCAATCTAAACTGCACTTCACCGAGCCTAATGAAAAAGGCGGTAACTGACTAACTTGTGTTGTACCTCGTTTCCCTCCCTCAGGGAACATTGGTTATATTCATAATCTCCAGTTCCCTTTTGGTCAGTGCACTCGGTACAACACATTAGTATGTGGACCTATCATCACGCCCCGAGACGCCCCTGCAGCTCGACTGAGAAGATCCAGCTCAGCAGTGACCGTGATGTCAGTTACATCACCTCCCTGCTGAGAGCACAGACTGAGTGACATCCTGAGCTGTCACATCCAGACAATAAAATTTCATAAATGTATGTGGAGGGGCCCAGCTTGCCGCTGAACATACATCCTCCTCTGAAACTCCTTCAAACAGAGCCCAGGACACAGCCATGCCCCTGGTGGAGTGAGCGCGCACTCTGCCGGGCACCCGCACGTTTTTACAGGCGTAGGCACGGGAGATTGCCTCCACAACCCAATGAGAGAGGCGCTGTTTGGACAGCAAAGCAGACAAAAAGCTGGTCCTTAGTTCATACCTCTCGTGTGCGGTCTATATACACGTGCAACGCACGCACCTCCCTTTGTTCAGCGAATACAAAGGGAGGTGGCGAAAAGGACGACAGTTCACAAGTCAAAGCCTTGTATGATAAGCACGGCACCTTAGGGATGTACGCAGCGCAGCACCTCTTTAGAATAGTCCAGCACAAACTGCATGCACGACTGATGAACAGAGCGAGCATGAAAATCCATTTTGCTGAACACAAGGCCAATAAGAGCGCAGTCTTATACGAAAGCATGTCAGTGCCGATAGACTGCAGCGTCTCAAAAGGCGCGTCACACAGCGCATCCAAAACTAGCGCGAGGACCCACTGAGGGACCACGGCTTTGCGCATCGGCCTCTTTCGAAGCACACCCTTCATGAAACGCATCACCAGAGGACTTCCCTTGAAATCCCACATGACAGGCAGAAGTGGCTGAAAGATACACTTTTATCATGGAGGAGGAAAGCCCTTTCTCTAACAATTCCTGAAGAAAAGTTAAAATCTCCACCACAGAGCTCTGAAAAGGAGAGATGTGTCTCTCCACACACCAAGCCTCAAAAGCACGCCATTTGAGCGTATACAACCCCTGTGTGGATGGCGCCCTGACACTTTGGATCGTATTGATCACATTATCTGGTAAACCTGCAGCCATCAGGTTCTCCCTCTCAGGGGCCAGCCCACAGACCCCAAATGTCGGGCCGCGGGTGCCATATCTGTCCCTGGGCCTGGGACAGCAGGTTTCTGTGCGCAGGGATGCACCAGGGCTTTAACTTTCCACTCCTTTTTGAACAATCTTTTCATTGTCTGTTGTTGTTGCTTTCTTTTCTTTTTTAATGTTCAAAATAAACTTTCAGATCAAAATCAATCAAATTAATTAAACTTCCCGTCATGACTGGGCTGCATTTCTGTCAGCGGAGTCATTTTTTTCGAACAGCTGATTGGCCAGTGGGTGGTGCTTTTTATAGGATCAGATTCAACCCTGAACTTACCCTGCTCCGGAGCAGGATAGCCGTTCAGAGTAAGTTACCATGGTGATCTACCCCATTAAGAACTGAACCAGCTTTGTGAGACCGAAAACCCAGGGTTAACCCTGAAGTTACCTCGCTAAGACATTAATCCTGCTTCGTGATACAGGCCCCTGCTGTGCCTGTCATCTGATGATCAATCTGGTTTACGAAGACAGAAATCTCTATAAATGTGTCAAACTATGGAGCTTTAAATATTCACTTTGTCTTTATTAATATAACTGAACATGATTGGACTTGATGAAAACTGTAGTTCTCTATCCAATCAGGTGATGCTGGTTCACTCTAGTGAGGCTATCACAGTGCTGACCAGGCTGAACGTCGAACAGCCTGACAGGATGCGCTTCCAAAGCACCTTCCGCGCAGGCTCAGTCTCTGAAACTACCACCTGTAACGTCTGCTTACGTCAACCCCAGTATCCACTGTGCAACTTCACTGACCCCCGTACAGGTGAGCCTTGGTTCTGCTACAAGCCAAAGAGCCTAAACTGTGATACCAGGATGACTCACGGCACGGAAAGATTCGTACAAGACATCAAGTCAGGGGAGGAGACGCTTTTTCAAAGGTGAGGGGACAGAGAGACAGGACTGTCCTTTACTGTGACTTCTAATATACATCAAGTGTTACCTATGTATTTCCTTGTTAGGATGTTTCAGTATGTTTTATGTTTGTAAAGACAGGCTGTTAAGACTGTACAGATGTTTAAAGTTTTAAAGATAATACAAATCAAACTTATCAGTTCAGATCATACTAGTGGATGGTTTTTGCTGTGATTCATTCATGTTTTATTGTAATTCATACATTTTATTTGGGGTGTGGTCTTTTCAGGAACTTTAAGATGCACATTTATTATTCTTTGCAACCTTATAAAGTTGATAGGGCTAAAATGTTAGCAAACAGTGGCCTATTTACATCCAGTAGACATGATGCAACATAAGCATTCATTTGTAATTGTGTTAATCAACAGATGTAAGACCAATGTTCACTAGGGGTGTAACGGTACACAAAAATCACGGTTCGGTACGTACCTCGGTACACAAGTCACGGTTCGTTTTTTTTTTCGGTACAGTAATGAAAAAAATAGACAACTATTAAATGTCTTTTACTTATTGGTAACCTTATTAAAACATACCACCACAGCAGTTAACTCTTTTTACACAACTTTTGAATGAAACAAATATATATAAAATCCTGCTTTTTCACATTGTTTGAATGAAAATAGAAATATAAAAGTGAAAAATAAAATCCTGCTGTTTTTTTAACACATTTTTTGAATGAAAAATATAAATATACATTTCTGCTTTAACAGTTTTACTCAATTAAAATAAAAAGTATAGTGCAGCTGGTCAGCTTTAAAGCCTGCTCAGATTCAGTTTTACTAGGAACTTACTTAGCTTTCCCACTTTGTTAAAGTGCAGTAAACAAAACATGCTTATATCTAAAGTGCAGCTTAAACAATTTTACTCAACTCCAGCTCGGGTGGTGTCGATTTAGATGCATTAGCATGTTAGATGTGTTTCCGAGTACATACCCGACCGCTGTTCTGCAGTGTCGGCACATTCCTTTTGTCTTGTCAACTTGTTTATTTCCATCTTCGTATTTTACCCTGAAACCAAAGTGTTCCCAAACGGAAGACTTAAGGTTTGCGGGTGGGTCTTCAGGTTCGTCAGGCTCACTTGCCATGTTGTCAAAATGTGAGAATGCACTGTACAAAGTGAAAGCGGAGATTTACGGTCGGACTCGGTCCGTCACTCAATTATGTCTGTCAGGGAACTAGATATTTTAAATGGTTCGGCTCGCAAAAACGGAATTAAAATAAAACAAAATAAAATAAAATAATATCCTGCGCCCAATAATCCGGTACAGGGTCGTGCCGAACCGAAAATCGCGTACCGAACGGTTCGACACAAATACATGTACCGTTACGGCCCTAATATTCACTCTCCTTTTAGCTCTTGTTTGGTCTTCACCACACTGGAGGGAAATATCTGTCTTAGTTGCTAAATGCTTCACTGAGTTCACCAGCTAGTTGCTAACTTTGTCAAAACAATGAGCTGAAAGATGCAATAACGTAACTTCAGAGTTCAGGTGAACTCTGAAGTTACACAATATATCCCCATACAACAGTCCATATGATATCTAATGAGTTAGCACCCCAAGAATGACATTACGTACTGTAAAGATACATATTTAACATATGACATCAAGTTACTGAGGTCAGGTTTAGGCAAGTTAAGATACCCACCTAAACCTACCTCCTGCCATGGACTGCTTCCTTCTTTACTACCATCAGCGCACTGGTCATGTGATCATAGCTGTACCAAATCATGGGTTATACATAAATTACTGGCTCATGATTACGTGGCATAAATATGAATCTCGGTGCATTGTTTTTCATAGATATAGGTATAAACAGTGCATGAGAACAGCCAGTGTCAGGTGATAATGTGGGTAATGTGGGTTAACCTTGCCCATTACACATAGTCATTGGGATCCATTGTTTATATGAGAATATTAATTAGTGCAGTTTAAATTCACAAAATGGAAACTCAGCAACTAAGTTTAGTGTAATGTTGAATAAACCTTCAAACCTTTCTCATTTTAGTGCTTGATCTCTCTAGTTTTTTAATGAAATGATTTAAGCTTTTTGTCCCTTCTTGTACTTATGTTGATGATGTTATGTTGTGCGTACAAGATATTTTGTTGTGTGTGTTCTTCTTCAGTGATATCAACATGAAAGTCTACATTAAGGCTACAGGACCTTCCGCTATTGACGTGTTTCCAAAAGAGGAAGGTAAAGCTTTTTTTTTAACTGCCATTATTGTCTATAATGATAATAATTCAAATCTGAATGTGCTGCAAACAAAAATAAAAGTAAAGCAGGCAGAAAAAAACATTTGCAAACAACTTACCACTTTACAACAATGAATTTATCCCACCAACAAGTTTTGCCTGTTTGAACAAAGCTTGATATGTCTTATTCCTCAGTGCCACAAAGCTCCATTGTCATTCAAAACTAATGAGCTGCACGGTTGCACTGAAGAGCGTGTCCTTTTATCAAAATTTAAATGGGCAGCATAGTTTATTTCTTTATAATTATACATGCACTGTCCTGCTAATTATTAATACACCAAATCTGTATTAATCCGCTGCTAAATATAGTCCCAAATTTACTATATACTCCTATTTAAGTAGTGTTTAATAAATAATAAAAAAAAGAAATGTAAATTACTAAGCCTGTAATAAACAAAACTGTATCATGACACAAAAAGTTTTAGGTCCTCATAATAACAACTTGACTTGAGACTGACTGCAACAAACAGGGAGAGACCTTAGTTTTTGTCTTTTTGTGGGCTTTGTCGACAATAACAGAAGTAGAAAATAAACTCACCCTATTCCTTTAACTTCCTCTCAGGTCAGCCACAGGTGAAGAGCAGCATTGAAACATCTGGACTCTTTGGCTATTACCACCAGGGTGTGTGGCGAGCACTAGATGGCACAGCAGTTCGCCAATTTGACACCCCTGCCACCATTCAGTGTCTGAGAAGCAAGGAGGTCCACATCTTTGGAGACTCTACCGTCAGGCAGTGGTTTGAATTCATCACGTCAGTGATACCAGGTGAGCTGATCCACAAAGATTCCTGGCAACGGTTTTGATTTTGTTCACACTGCAGTTCATTATCTTTTCTCTCTTTAAACATTTTAGATCTTAAGGAGATTGCCCTGTACAATCCTGGGAAAGCAGGACCTCACATGTCCGTAGACCATGTAAACAAAATCTTGGTGATGTCCCGCTTCCATGGGGTTCCTATCCGTATTAACTCTGTCTCATCCAACGAGGTGCGTTTTGCTGCCAGTGAAATAGATGGCTTAATCGGAGGCCCTAACACTGTCGTAGTTATTGGCATCTGGGCTCACTTTGGCACTTTCCCTATTGAGGTCTACATCCGGCGGATGCAGAGTGTCCGCAGGGCAGTGGTGCGGCTACTGAACAGGGCTCCAGCCACGAAGGTCATCATCCGGACTGGGAATCCTAAAGCTCTGACACTTTTTTATGCGCTAACCAACAGTGACTGGTACACGCTGCAGATTGACAAAGTGCTCAGAACCATGTTCAAAGGAATGAATGTGCATTGGGTCTATGCCTGGGAGATGGTCATGGCCCACCAACTGCCGCACAACCTCCACCCACTACGTCCCATTATTAAGGACATGATTGGTGTTCTCTTGTCGTATGTGTGCCCTAAATAGTGCGGCTTTATGTGAATTTGTTGGGGGGAGTCGGATTCAAGCACAAGCTGAGTTTTCATACATCTGTGTTCTTACCAAGCTACATGTTTCCTTCAGCAGTCCATGCCAGCCCATTCTCATTTCGCACTTGTCAAATATTGCCGCTTTGTCAGTGATTTTGATGCCAGGCACCGATGCAAAAAAGTACTCTTTACAGTGGTGGGATATAACGTCGGTTCGAAACGCTGCCAGCAACAATGAGATATAAGGAGCTGGAAAGTCCCAATAGGATGGGGGCAGGGGAGGTGGCTGGGTTCAACCAACCCTGGACTTTCACACGGGAGTCCACTCTTTGCTTCCCATGTGAATGGTGAGGCAAACCATGATGTTTTTTTTCTAAACTTAACCATGTGATTTTGTTACACAAGGAAATAAACATAAAAACAAGGTGCTTTACCGACATATGTGTATTTTGAAAAAGACCTTATGCGTCTAACGAGCAGAAACTGTACATTTCATGTGAAAACAGAAGTCTGTTAACAAGCATAAAGTGACACACCATCCCGGAACGTCAACAACTGGCGCATCATATTCAGACATGAAAGGCAACTGACAAAGCGACGATATTTGACGAGTTGGTTTAAGAATGCGTTGGCCATGCATGGACTTAACTAACCACAGTTTTATCTAGTTTTTTAATTCGTGAATGTTGGGTGAGCACAAAAGAAACAGAAATGGGTGAAAAGCAGCTCCAAGCAACGTTGGGTTTGTATATTACAAATAACCATTGCTGGATGATCACACTTAAGACATACAACCTCATGCCCCATGTCTTGGGATTGTCAAGCAGTCTTTCGTGAGATACAGGAAATCACTAACCAAAGGAGATTCAGGAAACCTCAAATTTTACATGTTTTTGTTTTGTTTTTTTTACATTTTATACATTGATATATAACATATTAATTAGTGAGCTTAGAGTTCTGGTAGGAAACTGTTGCCTTTGAACAGAGCCAGTCTTTATGCTAAGCTAACTGGATGCTGGCTTCAGCCTTAGCCTACATTGTATTGACAGATATATGAAGGTAACTCCAAAAACTTTAAAAGCAGGCTATGCCTCTGTGCAGGGGCTGGTTCAGACTGCTTGGGGAGTAGCTGTTGTATGATGTATCCTTTGCAGCCCTCACTGTCTCACAATCAACTATGCACCATCCAGTTGTTTAACAGAGCTTTCAGGTGATCCTCAGTAACTCGTTAAGTTTGATAATGTGACATGACTATGTATTTATATGAGGATATTGGCCATCTGTCACTGATACATTTTTTACTTAAACAACGACCATGGAAGGCTTTGTCAGGATGTAAATCATGGATGTCAAATGAAGTCCACTGGTTTGCAGCTTGTACATGTTATTTACAGGACATTGAGAGTTAAGTGAGAATTATATGTATATATTTACAGGTAGATATTACCCCAATTGTTTGAACACTTGTCTCTGCTCATCTACATTCTCTGTTTGAAATGTGTTGTTAACTGTGGATGTGTGAGACGTAGCACACTGTAATCTGTGATGCTTCTTATAATTGTGGTTTACTGCCAAAGGTTCTGTTCTTTCTCACAGTAGGTTTAAACAAAAACATGTAAATATGTCTTAAAATTACTCCTGGGATGTTGTTTTTTATACCAGATACTGTTTTTATGCAGTGAGGGGGAGGTTCTTTCATTGTATAGTAGGTCAACAGATCATACAACTGCAAGTGGATTCACTTTTTAGGAATTTATAATAACAGCGTAAATATTAAATAATATCTACCTTTACCTGAACAACCATATATTTATGAAAATCTCTCTCACATGATATGAATGTGTTTTATGCCTTCAAAGAAGAGAAACAAAAGATTTTTAGAATTTAACAATAATATATTTAACAACTTTGGTTTGTCAGAGTATTGATACCACACTGTTAAAGTACAAATAATTTAAACAAGATGCTTTTGTTAACAGAATCATGAGTATTGTGTGAAATGTAAAATGGGTTGTGTTTTTGGTTGTGGGTTGATGGAAATTGGGGAAATGTCATTTCTTTTGTTACATCTTCCTTATAATCATAGGAAATGGGGAGTCTGTGGTTATACCAATAGCAGCCAATAAAGTAACAGAAAAACATTGTTAATGCTACACAGTGGGTACTTTAATTCAAAGAATCTATTACATCCACCCTGTGTTCATATGCCAACTCAGCTGCCATCATTTTAATAAGCATACTCTTCTACTTCTATTAAACGTTTGCAGTTAATACAATGCACTAGTAACAATAGCAGTGCGTAAATTGTTTGTTTCACATCAAAGTATTTCTCTAAAACATAAAATATTCCAGCACCAGGCACTGTTTATATGATCTGGTGCATGACGAGGTTTGCCATGATGATGCAGGGGCAGTATGTAATGTTACGAAGATACATTTATTGAGATTTACATGAGCCTTCTCTTTCCATTGTCAGTGACAGATGTCATCTGTCATATAGATTTGTGAAAAATCATGCAAAAGCTTTGATGCTATGGAGGTGAAGACTTTTGTCAGGGTTGGGGCCCATAGGCCATTATTTGCCTATAACACTGCTCTTTAACATTCAATATTATGGACTAAAGAATCTAAAGATCGGAGAGGACAAAACATTTTTAATATTTACAAGGAGTTTAACACCAAAGTTTGGCTGATCTGTTTCATCAGCACTGCCCGGGTATGGTTTGATTAGATATGATTGAAAGTGGCTGGTCGAAACTGCCATTATTTGATTTAAACATTGCACTGAAATTCGTGACAATAATTTTTTGTAACAAGGTCCTGACCACTTCAAACCAGTGAGGGAAGCACAAACAACCACAAGTATCCATATATCTTTTTATAAGGAAGGAAAAATAACAAATGTGGGGTAGTTATAATTAGCTGTCAAACATGCATGTACATGTAACAGTTACATAAATCAACTTGAGGGAACCGATACTGTGAAAAGAATCAGACCGCCCAATAGTTACTCTTGTTCGCTCTGATGTGGTCCACCAGTGGAAACAAACCTCTCTCCTTCACCCGTCTGGAAGCCTTTACACGGATTAGGTGATATAAATCTTTTATACCCAGGCAGATTCCCTCCCTTCAGTTCCTTTTCACTCAGTGCATCAGGTCCATCCAAAGGCTCCAGCCCAAGTGGATCATACTATTGCTTCTCCAGATCTTTGAAGAACAGATACAATTTATCTACTTCTAATGAACACTGGGGCAAAACAATAGAATTCAAAGTCACCAAAACATCATATAAATCTCATAAAAATACAGCATTGCTCTTCATAGTCTCCAATGAGGCAACTCAGTCAAGCGTCATGTCTGAGTATATGTACTGAGCCATCCATTGATGGCTGATGGTCTCCACCTAGTGGCCGACTCAGATTTATTGACTTATATTCACAACTGTGTCCTGTTTGTGTCACTGTTGTTTGTATGGCAGGAAACAGCAGTATATAGTACATGTATATCTTAATCAGTTAAAAATGCCAACCAATCTTTTGTGGAAAGCCCTGTGATACACTGGTGAACTCATGCTGCCTTTTACACAAGCTTTAATGGATCAAGGGGAGACCAGGAGGAATTGTAACAGTTTTAGTTTTTGATTAAATTTCTCCAAAAAAAGAGAAAAACCTCTTGAACTATTTGGATATAATTATGTGTAGGTAACTTGTATTTGTGACTTAATAGGTGAATACATTTATACTGCAATACAGAATTTGTACCAAATGAGATTTACATCCCCTCCTTTCTCAGACCAGGTGAGTGTTACATGTATGTAAAATGTGTGCCAGCTTTATTGTGGGCTGTTTTGGCTCAATAGTGTGAATTTCATACAACTCACATTCACATTCAGGCTTAAATAACAAGGGGAGGCAAATCTCAGCTGGTACAATATCAGTATTCTCATAATGCATTCACCTCTTAAGTTCCCATTCAGATACTTTGGCATTTAACACAGCTGATATTTTGGGCTGTTTAGACAGGATGGTCTGAACTTCATACATGTAACGCTCACCTGGTCTGAGGAAGGAGGTGAGGCAATTCTTGGCATGTATTAAAATATTCATCTGTCAAGTAGTGCATCCACATTGTAACGCTATTTCCAGAGATGCTACTTTCTACTGGGTGTAATATAATATTGATCAGGCCACTGTAAATGTTCATAAACTATAGACTTCAGATCATTTATCAACATTAACAAGCCCTAGAAATAAGATTTTGTCCCTTTTAAACAGTACTTTGCCATTGGAATCATTATATTTGGCAGGGTGAGGTCAGATGGTTTGGGACATCACGTAAAATGGGAAAAATAAGGTTTTACATTTTGTGCTCTTTAAAAATTAGCAACCAATCACCAACCATATTATTGGATTGTTAATGAATACAAATGTCCTTAACATGAAACAAGCATTTTATTAGTCTAAGCTAACTAGTGTGGGCACACCAAAGATTAAAAAAAATCACTAATCCGAGAATGAGCCAGTAAAGCCATGTGGCATGTTGATTTCCTCATTTTGTAATAACAGTTCTACAGCTAATACAATACTGGTATATCTACAAAAATGATTGCAGGATGTTGCACTTTATCAACTGCCTGACCTATTATCAAAATATTTTCACAGTACACTTTACTTTTTGTGCGAAATAGTTTTGAGTGTGTACTAAATGCATTCAGGCAAATGGGACAAAAAGTTAAGCTAAAATGGGACATTTTTCTTAAGTAATATCGGCATGTTTTTAAGCTCCCAGGTGCCATACAGTCATGAATTATGCTGCTGTAAGCCATGCTGTAATATTACATATTTTTATTTTTTTATTTTTGTCACTTAAAAAAAACCTACAGACGATGTATTAAGCTCATGTTAGCTACAATAGACCAGAATTAGCCATCATTGTTACACACACCAATGTCCATTGTTGGCACTATGTCACAAAGGAAACAGGCAGCAAAAAAACAGGCAGAAAAGTTGTACAGTCTTTTTTAATGAGTAGCATCAGGTAACATAAATGATTCAATTAATTAATGACTGAACTGATAAATGTATTAAACCCTAAATAAACAAACAAACTGTCCCATTTTACCTGAACATGTGAGGTAGGGGTTCTCCATGTGTTTAAAGATCCAAAATTTCTAAATTACTTGACTTCATCATCATCAACATCTTTATAGAAACATAGCAGAGAACCATAACGAGCTCTAAAAGTAACACTCAAGGTAGTTTCGACGTTTTAGGTGGTTTTTGCTTTGGTAATCTACCAGAACTCGTCTGCCTGCTTTCCACTGTGCGCGCTCCCGCAAGATGCACGCAGATCACCTGTGTTCCCGTCTGTTCTCGCGAGATCCGACGAGCTCCACTTTCTTCTCGTCCAGCATGGCCGCGCTGTATGAG